AGGCAGGCAGATCACGAGGTCAGGAGATCAAGACCATCCTGGCCAACATAGTGAAACCTCGTCTCTACTAAAAATACAAAAAATTAGAGGTGAGACAGTGTGCACCCTTAGTCCCAGCTACCCCGGAGGCTGGGGCAGGAGAATTGCTTGAACCCGGGAGGCAGAGGCTGCAGTCAGCCGAGACTGCGCCACTGCACTCAAGCCTGGGCAACAGAACGAGACTCTGTCTCAAAAAAAAAAAAAATAAAGAATGGTTTCTTGAAGCTGGGCACATTGGCTCATGCCTATAATCCCAGAATTCTGGAAGGCCAAGGCAGGTGACTGCTTGAGCCCAGGAGTTCAAGATCATCCTGGGCAACACAGTGAAACCTGTCTCTACAAAATACAAAAGCTTATAGTCCCAATTACTCAGGAGGCTAAGACAGAAGGATCACCTGAGCCCAGGGAGCTTGAGACTATAGCAAATCAAGAGCGTACCACTGTACTCCAGCCTTGGTGACACGAGACCCCCGTCTCCAAAAAAAGAAAAGGTTTCTTAAAACGTAATTTAACTACTGTCTTACTTGGTGATACATGAATTTTTCTTAGAAACAACAGTAAGGGGGAAAAAAAAGAAATGAATAAAGAATGTCTCAAAGGGATTACCTAAGTCTGAAAATGACTTACTCGAATTGTATATGGCAGAACTCTAGCAATATTAGGGAGTAGAGCTTCCCCAGCATTTATAAGTGTGCCAGAATACTGATCTCCCATTCCAGGTTATTTCATGAGGAGCTGCCTGCCAGGTGCTTCTAGCCTCCCAACCTCATCTACCTTGGTGTACTATTCAAAATTTATTTTCTATGTAGACACAACCTAAAGATGGTTGAGAGGCACTGACAGAATACATTAAAGCAGTTACCAGCTCAACTTTAAAATACGTACTCTCCAATAAGAAATTCAAAGTCTACCCTTACTTGTTTTACTCCATTGATCCTAAAGACTATTTAACTTTTATCAAGTAATGAAATTCCAAGTTACGTTTGTATAATATAGCATTAAGAAAAATACAGTTCCTCTCACAGTTTAAGTAACTTCAGCAGCAGCAACATCCTGGTGCGGGTAAGATAAAGAAATCCACTAAAAGCTTTTTGTGTAAGGACATGGTCACTCCATGTCACAGCTTATTTTCTCCTAATTAAAATCCCCAAAATGCCAATTTCCTAACCTTCTTCCATGTTTTTTCTCCACTGCGCTATTACCGTCTAATATAACAACACAATAGGCCGGGCGCAGTGGCATATGCCTGTAATCCTAGCACTTTGGGAGGCCGAGGTGGGAGGATCACCTGAGCTCAGGAGTCTGAGACCAGCCCGGCCAATGTGGCAAAATGAAGTTTCTACTACAAACACAAAAAAAATTAGCTGGGCATGGCAGCCGGTACCTGTAATCCCACCTACTCAGGAGGCTGAGAATCCTGGGAGCAGAGGTTGTAGTAGCTGAAATCATGCTGCTGTACTCCAGCATCAGCGAGATGCCCTCTCAAAACAAAAACACAATTAACTTAAATATTTTGTTCTTATCTGTCTCTTCTTACCAGACTATTTATTATTAAATCCACGAAGGCAGAAATCTTGTGTGCTTTTGTTCATTGCTATAACTGTGGCACCTAGGTAAGTGTCTGACACATAGAGGGCACCCAAAAGATAACTGCTGAGAGAATAAACAAATTTGGTAATTTGATTGAAGGTTTATGTATAATCTAATTGTCTTAAAAGAGCCAAACTTTGCCATTAAGATAGGATATAAACTTCGTACAACAAAGATACAGAATCACTACACAAAAAGTAGGGTTGTCTTTTAAAAAGCTTGACTTATATATATTAAAATTTCTTAAAGATACTACTGGCCGGGCTCAGTGGCTCATGCCCGTAATCCCAGCACCTTGGGAGGCCGAGGTGGGCAGATCACGAGGTCAGGGGATCAAGACTATCCTGGCTCACACAGCGAAACCCCGTCTCTAGTAAAAATACAAAAACTCAGCAAGGTGTGGTGGTGCACACCTGTAGTCTCAGCTACTTGGGAGACTGAGGCGGAGGTTGCAGTGAGCAGAGATTGCACCACTGCACTCCAGCCTGGGCTACAGAGCAAGAAAAAAAAAAGACACTACCAGAAAATCTACACTAGACATTTTAAAATACAAATAAAAAGGAAAGATTTTTTATTTTAATAAAAACAGGAAGCATCTGTTTTCCATTCCTCTAACCAGAAAACATAGACTAGAGAGTGATAAGATTTAGACAGAATACGTGACGGGAAAAACTTTAAAAAGTGATAAAACAGCCGGGGGACAGTGGCTCACACCTGTAATCCCAGCACTTTGGGAGAGCGAGGCGGGCGATCACGAGGTTAGGAGATGGAGACCATCCTGGCCAACATGGTGAAACCCCATCACTACTAAAAATACAAAAACATTTGCCAGGTATGGTGGCGTGTGCCTGTAGTCCCAGCTACTCAAGAGGCTGAGGCAGGGGAATCGCTTGAACCCGGGCTGCGGAGAACGCCGTTGAGCCGAGATCGTGCCACTGCACTACAGCCTGGGTTAGAGAGGATGAGTCCGTCTTAAAAATAAATAAATAAATAAAGGCCAGGCGCGGTGGCTCACGCCTGTATTCCCAGCACTTTAAGAGGCCAAGGCAGGCGGATCAGGAGGTCAAGAGATAGAGACCATCCTGGCCAACATGGTGAAACCCCGTCTCTACTAAAAAAATACAAAAATTAGCTGGGCGTGGTGGCGTGCTCCTGTAGTCCCAGCTACTCGGGAGGCTGAGGCTTGCTTAAAACCGGGAGGCAGACGTTGCAGTGAGCCGAGACCGTGCCACTGCACTCCACCCTGGCGCCTGGCGACAGAGCAAGACTCTGTCTCAAAAGCAAAAACCAAAGTGATAAGACAGTCTAAGGTAGTAACACTTAGGGCACAGGAAAACGCACTATTGCACTATCAATCAAGTATTTGTTTCCATTGCTTAGGACACTATGTAAAGTTCAAGATTACCAACTTCTCTCATAAACAAATCTGTCTTTACCAGACACTCAATCTAACCAGATAACACACTAAGTTCTCTTGTCAAATATTATCATAAGTATTGTGGATTTTAATGTTAATCTTTAGCCTCAAATTACGTTTTAATCTTAATACCGATAATCTTAAGCTCATAAAAAATGTTTTCATCTTAACACATAAAATCTTTAAGTGGTCCTGTAGCCTATTGCGTCTACTGTTCAACTAGGATTCCACAGTTCCTTTTTCAGCCTCAAATGACGAAACTTCTCTAACGTCTCTGGGGAAACTAGTGTAAAGTATAACGTTTCCTGAAATTGTTCTTGTTTTTTCCCTGCACCATTCGTGACATCTCTTCAACTAGAAATGTTATATAAAACTTTTATGTTCTGCAGGCAAGTCCAGAGGGAGAAGCAAAGGTAAAAAGAATACTGTAAGGAAAACAGGTTGAAAGGGGAATAACATAAAAGCACAGGAGTAAATGTGAAGCAAAGAAATATTTATACAAAAGAGGAAGAAGATGCAAAAAAGGGAAGAAAAACACTTTCAGCAGAGAAAAGAAAAAAAAAAGGAGGGGGAACAGAGACTTGCTTCTTCCAGAAACAAAAGCAAAAAACACTTCTAAGAAAACGTGGTCTCTCTTTACCCAAGGGGATGTTAATAAAATGCTAAAAGGTATTCAGCTGACACTCCTATTTAGAGGTCTACTTTCTCTTCCTATGTCCTTTGATACTGCTCGTCTTCATCAATGAATTAAATGCAGGGTATACATAACACAGTCAATATCTACAAAACTACAATTGTGGTTGCCATCTTTGCCTGCAAAAATAATTAAAACAACTCCCTGGTTTCGGGGAAAAGGGGTAAATTAAGTTGGAAAACCAGAAAACCCCACTTGCTAAGTGGGGTAGAAATGACACAGGTTAACAAACGCCTCCTACCCATTTAGATTCTACTGAAGGTCTGGGTAGTTAAGGGCAACAACAAGTAGCTTTACCTCGACCGCAAGGGTGGGGCATTGTAGGGGAAAACAAAATAGAGGGCGAACTATCCCGAGAGGTTTAAGGGGGCTGAGGACTCGGCTCTCGGGAGACTGTCCATCAGGCGGTGGACTCGGGCAGCTTCGAGAGGAAGGAGACAGTGGACTGCTGGAGGAATGTCAGTGAGAATGCCGGTGCAGATGGAAAGAGAAGGTACCCACGAGCACAGAATTAAGAGTCAAGGGAAGAAGAGAGGCCCGGCGTGGGAGGCCGGAGCAGAGGCCGCTGAGCGCCGTCTGCAGCTAGCCGCCCTCTCCCGAGACGCCTTCTCGGCTCCACCACACTCAGCCCCTCGCCGCCCCTGCCCGGGCTACAACCGCGGGCGCAGCTGTTTCCGTCGGGCCAGGGACAGCGGGAGAAAGGCAACCGTGGGGCTGGCGGGGAGCAGACTGGCAGCGGGTGTGTGTGTGTGTGTGTGTGTGTGTGTGCGCGCGCGCGCGCGGAGCGGATTTTGAGACCGGAACGCCAGACTTCGCCCTTTCTCCCCCAAGCCTCCTTTATCACCCAACTTCCCAGTCGGCTGGTGTCCGCTTCGACCGACGGATACCGCACCACCCCCCACCCCACCACCCGACGCCTCTCGCCGCTTCTCACCCCTCCCCCGACGCCCTGAGCGGAGAGAAAACAGACTACCCTGACCGATCCCGAACCCGCCCGGGTGTCCCCGAATCGCGGACACCGCCCCCGCCCGAACGCTGGCACCCTCTTGGCGGCTCCCTGGCCCGCCCAGATGCAGCAAACTCCTCTCACCTGCATTGACGCCATGATGGAACCATCCCCCCACAGCCGGCGAGGCCAGAGACGCAGGGGGCGGAGCTGCCGTGCTCGCGTCACGCCGCGGGGGCTCAACATCCCCGGCGCGGGGGCGGGATCTGTAAAGGGAAGGGGATAGCGCGAGGGGATTGGCTGGCACGCTAGGCGAACGGGAGGAGGGACCGCGGGGCGGTGCGGGGGGACGGTAAATGGCGCTGTGAGTACCTTCGGTCACAGTTGGACTCGCAGGTCCCGAGTCTGGCTCCTGATTACTCTTTATCGAGGACACACGGCTCCAGTTTTGACTCGGCTACGGTTGTTTTCTTCGTCTGTACCGCGAAATCCTTATGACGTCCGGATCTGCGCAGCTTTTTTCTGTTCGTTTTGTTTTTCCAACCACAGCTGTGCGGTACAGATTTTTCCCTTGGGATGTGCCTTCCCTACTACCAAGCCCACTCTCAGAGCCTTGGGGCCCCATAAAACTTCCCGCGCAGCTACTTTCTGGTCTTTGGAGACTTGGAAGGTTTCTTGGGGGATTTTTTTTTGAGACGAAGTCTCGCTCTGACGGCTTCTAGTATTCTTAATTTGGAGAAGAGAGACATAGGTTTCCTTGTACAACGGGATGAGGATGTAAGAGCAGAACAACACTGATATTTTAAAGGCGAGGATATTTAGATTTGTGGAGCTGAAACTTGCCTGAAAAGGGAGAGAAAATTTGGAAGTTTCTAAGCTGTGTGCAGTTTCTGCCCCTTACTCCAACTATTGTTGATACATGTGAAGTTTTAAACTTCACATGTATCAACAATAGTTACAGTTGTTGGGGCAGTCTAAATTTGATTAGCGAGTTGACCCCAGGCATTAATTTTTTTTAAATGTTATAATATACACTTATACCATTATGTCCAGACTTCTCTTAAGCCTATTTCGTGGTGGTTTTATGGTCATTTAGGGATTAACTTGGGTAGGGAAAGCTGAGCATACATAATTTATTTTAGGAATGCACCAGTTCTGCCAACATTTATCAGAAGTCACGTTTGAAGAAAGCTATTCTGGAACTGAAGATGTCATTGGTTTATGAGAGGAAAATGGAAGCCAAAAGCCTGCACCTCATGCTCTATCTTTAAAACTTAACGTGGCAGACACAATGAGTAGAAGGCTTTTATGTTACCAGAATGAAGGCTTAAAATCTGTCATTTTATTGACTCGGCTTTCGTTTTAGAAATTTCTTTAAGCTATAAATGCAATGAAGAATATCACTCACACTCTTAAAATAGATTACGTTCTTTGGAACTTCTCTAATCTGAAATGTGCTTAAAAAGAAAAATATATTTAAAATACGTCAGTTAGTTTATGGTATAATATTAAACACACTATCCATCACTAGGGAAGTTATGGTGGTACACCCTCCCCTCTCTCAGACGTCTACCCTATTGCCAGAAGAGCAGATTTTCCCTGTTGTGCAAAGTGTGTCCTTGAGGGATGTTTGGATGCTCTTGGTAAACCGGAATCAACCAGAAGCATATCCGGTGTTAGCCCATTGTGTCATCAACATTACAACAGTGAGGAAATCCACATATCCCAATGAAAGAGGAAAGCTTATAGAAGAGGTTTCCAGTATATTTCCTTTGAGATATCTTTATTCCTGTGACCTCAGAAGATCAGGTTTTACCGTCCAAGGTTCACTTTGCCCAAAAACTTGATTGTTCCTGTGGAAAAAGTGGCATCGGATGACCCTACAAACAAAGCATTATGACATCGTCAGAGCCTGCTTTGTAAGGAAAAAAGTTACAAGAATTCTGACACTCATCACAGTGGAGCCAATATCTGATCCCTTGGGTTACATATATGTGAAAAGTATCTTCACGGGAGGGAAAAGTCAATGCCAGTCTTATCCTTTCTAGGTAATATGAAATAGCACATAATAACGTGTCTTCTTCCTTCTTAATATTTAATAAAAAAATCCTGACATAGGAGCCAAAACAGTGACTTACAGATGGTGTGTGGGGGGTATATAATTATCTCCAGTGAGCATGTAATATTAATATCTAAGACATGATTGTGCACTGTTTGAAGACTAGGCGCATATGTCTACAGAGCAAGGTTTACTATCATTACTATCAGAGAGGCAAAAGTTAAAATGTCTGACAGGATATGCCACTGCACTCCAGTCTAGGTGACAGAGCAAGACCCTGTCCTGTCTTTTGAAAAAAAAATTCTGACGATACCACAAGTGAGAGAGGAAGTAGAGCTCTCATAAACTCTATAGGAGTAAAACTAATATAGTCACTTTGGAAAATAATTAAGCAATAATGAAGTTAAAGTTTCCCATATCCTTACTGGATATTCTTAATAGCAACATATATAATTTGTTGTGTGTGTGTATATATATATATATATATATATATATATATATATACACATACATAGAGAGAGAGAGAGAGAGAGAGAGAGAGAGAGACACAGAGAGAGACACACTCTATCACCCAGGCTAGAGTGCAGTGGTGAGATCTTGGCTTATTGCAGCTGCAGCCTGCTAGGCTCACGTGATTCTCCTGCCTCAGCCTCCTTAGTAGCTGGGACTACAGACATGTGTCACCACGCCTGGCTAATTTTATGTATTTTTAGTAGAGACCAGGTTTCATCATGTTGCCCACACTGGTCTCCAACTCAAGTGATCCACCTGCCTCAGCCTCCCAAAGTGCTGGGATTACAGTAGTGAGCCACTATCCCTTAAGTGGCTTGGCCACCTGGAGAAAATTACAGAATAGATATTAGAGAATATTAAGGAATTGTTATTATTGTTAGATTTAATAATGATGTTCACTTTTTCATTTACACAGCAGTTAGAAATGACCATCGGATGACGAGGAGATTTTTTTCTCATCTCACAAACTACCCACATCTCCACTTCCCTGGAAGAAAAAAAATCCGGACATACACGAGCTGTGTATATGCCTGAGATCTTCCCTTCCAAGGTAAAGAGAGAGTTTGAGACAGAGAGGTCTAAACTAGCATCTGGACTTTCTGCCAGCAAAGAAAAGGAAATATGGGAAACCAAATAGTCTAGTAACATTAAAGGATCCACAAAGGGACTACTAGGTAAATGCAACAATGGTAATGTGATTTATTAAACTGGAAAGTCAGAAACAGTCCTGTGAACATTTGTTTGTTGAAACTTGAAAAGGCAGAGTTGGCAAGTACTTGCTTGAGTCTACGCCTCCGCAGAGTAGTTTGTTCTTAGTCTCCTAGGTGCTGATCTCAGCAGAGAAATGAAAGCAGTTCAGCCACCAACAGTTTGTTTGTTGGATTTTGGAAAAAGCACCAAACTAAGAATCCAAGGCTTGCATTCTTATCTTATCTCTGTCATTAGCAAGCTTGGGTGAGGCTTCTAATCTTTCTGGGCTTCTTTCCTCATTAATAAAATGAGCAAGTCAGACTGCATAATCTTTACAGTTTCTTCCAGATTTCAAATTCCATGAATCTATTAAAGACAATCAAAATTTTACATGATTTGTCTAAAATACCATGTTAAAAAGTCAAAGATAAAATGCAATGGGAATGACATACCATTTTGAGTTCAAAAATCAATTTTGTAAATATATTAAGGAATGAACTTGGCTTCATTGCCGTTTATGTAGAAATACTGGGAAGTAGAGGGGGCTTTGGTTAACAATTTTAAAATGCTAATGTAATCCACTTGAAATATAGATGGGATTTCATAAAGTAGCAAAAATTCTATATTCATAAATCAGAGTGATAACAAAAGCATATCTACAAAGCAAAAGTGTATTTTTAAAAATAATTTTAAATCCCAGTCATTTCATTTACATCTTCTAATAAAGGACAAGGAAGTGAACAAAATAACAATGGTTTGTATGTGTAACTTATTTTGAGTGTGACTTATTCTACATGTCAAAAATAGTTGATTTATATACATATATAGTTTGCAAAGAAAATTGTGAATCAGGAAAACTTTTACTTTATTCCCTTGTCTTTGCCTTTCTCTAGCAAGAGTTCTTTACCCATGTCTACAGCCTTGACATTCCCTGCTTATTTCTCCCCTAGACCTCTTACCAAACATGGTCATAGCAAGCTATTACTTGAAAAGACTGTTTCCTTATTTACTTTTTTGCCATGGATCTCTTTAAAAATCAAATGAAAGCCATGGATCCACTCCACAGAAGAATATACATACCCATGAAAATTTGTGTTTCAGGAAGTTACCTGACCCTTAGAAGTTCATCCACCAGGGCCAGGCATGGTGGCTCATGCCTGTAATCCAAGCATTTGGGGATGCTGAGGCAGGAGGATCACTTGTGCCCAGGAGTTTCAGACCAGCCTGGACAGCATAGCGAGACCCCATCTCTACAAAAAAATAAGCCACGCATGGTGGCACATGCCTACTACTTGGGAGGCTGAGCTGAGAGGATCACTTGAGCCAAGGATGTCAAGGCTGCAGTTAACTGTGATCATGCTACTGCACTCCAGCCTAGGTGAGAATGAGGCCCTGTCCCCCGACTCCCCCCGCCAACAAAAAAAGTTTATCCATTAGATTAGCAGCAGAGGTGGATGAACCTTAAGATAAGGCTAGGCATGGTGGCTCACACCTGTAATCCCAGCACTTTGGAAGGCCAAGGAGGGTAGATCACCTGAGGTCAAGAGTTCGAGACCAGCCTGGCCCACATGGTGAAACCTGTCTCTACTAAAAATACAAAAATTAGCCAGGCATGGTTGTACGTGCCTGTAATCCCAGCTACTTGGTGGCTGAGGCAGGAGAATTGCTTGAACCCAGGAGGCAGAGGTTACAGTGAGCCGAGATTGCGCCACTGCACTTCAGCCTGGGCAACAGGGGGACTCTGCCTCAAAAAAAAAAAATCACCTTTCCCTTGTGTAGAAGCTGGATTTTAGGCCAGGCGTGATGGGTCACACCTGTCATCCTAGCACTTTGGGAGGCTGAGGCAGATGGATCACTTGAGGTCAGGAGTTCAAGACCAGCCTGGGCAACACAGTGAAACCCGATTTCTACTAAAAATACAAAAAATTAGCTAGGCATGGTGAGAATACTTGTAATCCCAGCTTCTTGGGAGGCTGAGGCAGCGGAATCACTTAAACCCAAAAAGCAGAGGTTGCAGTGAGCCAGGATGGTGCCATTGCATTCCAGCCTGGGAGACAGAGTGAGATTCCATCTCAAAAAAAAAAAAAAAAGCTGGACTATGGAAAAAAAATAACACTTTTCATGAAGAGATGAAGATAGATATCAGCTCAATCTCTTGCCCTTCTAAAATATGTCTCTTCTTTTTTGAGATATAATTTCATAACTCTTGTTCTCTTGTTCAGTTGTTTGTTTTCTGGTTTTCCCGAAAATCAAGATGCTGTGTGAAAAGCGGTGGACTGGGAACCAGAAGAGTTGAGTGCTCATCTTAATCCCTCCCAGAAGTGATACTAAACTCGTTTAACAACAAGTGTGGCACAAGTACCAACCATTTAGAACAACAGAGACTGCTTATTATCAGTGTGGGGTCCTGAAAAGTCTCTGCTGAGAGGGCTGGGTATCCTTAGATCATGGGGAATTCCAGGTTGTGGGGTGGTTGAGATGCTATGAACCAGAGGTTCTTTGGGGGTCTGAGGGCAATAGCTATTTATTTACCACTGCAGATCTATTTCAATGTTTTCTTTTTGGTGTGATGGAAATATTCTAAAAGTAGACTGTAGTGATGGTTACCCAGACATGTAAACATATTAAAATAATTGAACACTTACAGTGGGTGAAGTTTATGGTAGGTAAATTATACCTTGATAAAGCTGTTTGAAAAAAGAGAGGGGAGGCATTGTAATATTTTATTATTATTATTATTGGGATGGAGTTTTCACTCTTGTCCAGGCTGGAGTGCAATGGTATAAGCTTGGCTCACTGTAACCTCTGCCTCCCGGGTTCAAGCCTCCTGCCTCAGCCTCTCAAGTAGCTGGGATTATAGGCATGTGCCACCACGCCCGGCTACTTTTGTGTTTTTAATAGAGACAAGGTTTCTCCATGTTGGTCAGGTTGGTCTTGAACTCCTGACCTCGTGATCCACCTGCCTCAGCCTCCCAAAGTCCTAGGATTATAGGCGTGAGCCACCGCGCCCGGCCCATTGTAATATTTTAACTCTGGTATAATTATGAATCCTGGATGACCTTAAGCCTGGCTCTCCCATCAGTGATGAGACCTATGGCTGGTTAGGCATCTCCCTGAGTTTGAATTTTTTCATCTGTAAAATGGGTGGTCATGATTTCTTTGAAATTTTCCAGATAAATTCTTTTCCTTGTCAAAAAGTTTCATAATGTGTTATCGTAATTTCTATTGCCCCACTTTCAACCTACTCTTAAGTTCTTCACTACTCAAATACATTTTTGGTCCTTTCTTTGCTCCTTAGAGACCATGGCAGCCCTAGTGATTTTGTCCCTTCCAGACAGTTCTTCCTTATCCTGCCTAGCTTTCCCATCTCCATTTTGTGCCCCTCGTTTGCCTGATCTGTTTCACATGTATCAGAAAAGGCAAAGGCTTGATTTCTCATTAAGATTCCTGTTAGCTCCACGATCTGGAGTTGGTCATTTAAACTTCTTTAAACTTTAGCTTCTTTATTTTTAAAGTGAGAACAAAATTTCCAACACATGGTTTGTGACAGGGTCTAAATAAGATCATGGATGTGAAGGACCTTTGTAAATTGCATAGCACTGCTAGATAATGCTTTGAGATGCGATACCTAGTTTTCCTTCCTCATTACTCAATGCTGTCTGTCCAGTAAGCAGGTGTAATGTTGACTGAAGATAAGGAATAAGGTATCTGACAGTGACTGAGAAATACCTCTGCCAATATTCTCAAGTTTCCTATTGCTTATGAACATAGAAGAGCCTGGGCAGACACTGTGCTATGGTCTGAATATTTATGTGCCCTTTAAATTCACATGTTGAACTCTTAATTAACCTCTGAGGTAATAGAATTAGGTTATATCATAAAATGCAGCCTTCAAGAATGGGATTAGTGCCCTTATAAAAAAGACCTCATGGCTGGGTGCTGTGGCTCACGCCTGTAATCCCAGCACTTGGGAGACCAAGGCAGGTGGATCATCTGAGGTCAGGAGTTCAAGACCAGCCTGACCAACACTGTGAAACCCTGTCTCTACCAAAAGCACAAAAATTTTCCAGGCATGTTGAGGCATCCCTGTGATCCCAGCTACTTGGGAGGCTGAGGCAGGAGAATTGCTTCAACCCAATAGGCAGAGGTTGCAGTGAGCTGAAATCATGCCACTGCACTCACTCCAGCCTAGGCAACAAGAGTGAAACTTCATCTCAAAAACAAAACAAAAACAAAAAAAAAACCTCATAAAGCATAAAGACCCTCACAATTCCCACTATGTGAGGCACAGCAAAAAGGTGGCTGTCCATGAACCAGTAAGTGGACCCTCATTAGACACTGAATCTTCCAGTGTCTTGATCTTAGATTTTCCAGTCTCTAGAACTGCGAAATAAGTTTCTGTTGTTTATAAGCTGCCTAGTGATGGCATTTTGTTATAATATCAAATGGACAAAGGCACTTTAAACAGAGCTTACTATAGACAAAATTTCAAGGTTGGAGCCAGAGCATTTAGGCAAGAGAAAGAAATAAAGCATGGCTGGTGCAGTGGCTCACACCTGTAATCCCAGCACTTTGGGAGGCTGAGGGCAGATCGCATGAGGTCAGGAGATCGAGACCATTCTGGCTAACACGGTGAAACCTTGTCTTTACTCAAAACACAAAAAATTAGCTGATGTGGAACCCTATCTCTACTAAAGATAAAAAAAATTAGCTGGGCATGGTGGCACACACCTGTAGTCCTAGCTACTTGGGAGGCTGAAGCAGGAGAATTGCTTGAATCCAAGAGGCAGAGATTGCAGTGAGCAGAGACTGCACCACTGCACTCCAACATGGGTGACAAGACTCGAAACTCCATCTCAAAAAAAAAAAGCAGGCCAGGCGTGGTGGCTCACACCTGTAATCCAAGCACTTTGGAAGCCAAGGCGGGCAGATCACCTGAGGTCAGGAGTTCCAGACCAGCCTGACCAACATGGTGAAACCCCATCTTACTTAACAACAACAATAACAAAAGCAAGAAAAGGCATCCAAATTGGAAAAGAGTTAGTCAAATTGTCCCTGTTTGCAGATGACATAATCTTATATATCAAAATAACCTAGACTCTTCCAAAAACTCTTAGAATTGGAAAATTAAAGTTACAGGACACAAAGTTAATGTACAAAAATCAGTAGTTTTTCTATACATGAACAATGAACTAGCTGAAAAGGAATTCAAGAAGTACCATTTATAGTAGCTATAAAAAATTAAAATAAAATACCTAGGAATAAATTTAACCAATAAGTGAGAGGCCTCTATAAGGAAAACTACAAAACACAAATAGAAGAAACTGAAGATAACACAAACAAATTGAGAGACATCCCATGCTCATGGATCAGAAGAATTAATATTTAAAAAAAATTTTTTTTGAGACAGTTTCGCTCATTACCCAGACTGGAGTGCAATGGCAGGATCTTGACTCAACGCAACCTCCGCCTCCTGAGTTCAAGCAATTCTCCTGCCTCAGCCTCCTGAGTAGCTGGGACTACAGGCACGCACCACCATGCCCAGCTAATTTTTGTATTTTTAGTAGAGACGGGGTTTCACCTTGTTGACCAGGATGGTCTCGATCTCTTGACCTCATAATCCACCCGCCTGGTCTCCCAAAGTGTTGGGATTATAGGCGTGAGCCACTGCACCCGGACATGAAGAATTAATATTATTAAAATGACCATACTACTCAAAGCAATCTTCAGAGTCAATCCAATCCCTATCTAAATCCCAATGGCATTCTTCACAAAAATAGGGGGCAAGAAACTCTAAAATGTATATGGAACCACAAAAGACCCCAAATACCATGGGAATCTTGAGCAAAAAGAGCAAAGCTGGAAGTATCCATGCTACCAGACCTCAAAAATATTACAAAGTTGTAGTAACAAAAACAGCATGCTACTAGCATAAAAACAGACACACAGACCAATGGAACAGAATAGAGAACCCAGAAATTAATCCACATATCTACAACCAACTTATTCTTGACAAAGGTGCCAAGAATACTCAAGAAGGAAAAGCCAGTCTCTTCAGGAAATGATGCTGGGGAAACTGGATATCCATATGCAAAAAAAAAAAGAAACTAGGCTGGGCACAGTGGATCACACCTGTAATCCCAGCACTTTGAAAGGCTGAGGCAGGAGGATCAGTTGAACCCAAGAGTTTGAGACCAGGCTGGGCAACACAGCAAGACCCTGTCGCTACAAAAATAAAAAAATCAGCCAGGCATGGTGACACACGTCTGTGGTCCCAGTTACTTGGGAGGCTGAGGTGGGAGGATCGCTTGGGCCCAGGAATTTGAGGCTGCAGTGAGCCATGACTATGCCACTGCACTCCAGCCTGGGCAACAGAGTGAGACCCTATCTCAAAAAGAAAAAAAAAATAGATTATAAAATTAGACCCCCATCTTTCACCCTATATAAAAATTAACTCAAAATGGATCAAAGGCCAAAATGTAATATTCAGAATCTTGAAACTACTAGCAGACATAGTGGAACTGCTTCAGAGCATTGGTCTGGGAAGAGGTTTTATGAATAAGACCTCAAAAGCACAGGTAACAAAAGTAAAAATAAATGGGATTATATCAAACTACAAAGCTTCTGCACAGCAAGGAAAGCAATCAACAGAGTTAAAAGACAACCTACAGAATAGGAGAAAATATCTGCAAACTAATCATCTGACAGGGTTTAATATCTAGAATATACAAGAAGCAAACTTTTTAACTCAATTTAATTTTATTTTTTGAGACAGGGTCTTATTCTGTCATCCAGGCTGGAGTGCAGTGGCATGATCACAGCTCACCATCTCAACCTCCCAGAATCAAGCAATCCTCCTACCTCAATCTCTTGAGTAGCTGAGACTGTAGGTGCACACAGCTGCACCTGGGTAATTTTTTATTTCTTTTGTAGAGACAAGTCTCACTATGTTGCCCAGGCTGATCTTCAACTTCTTGATACAAGCAATCCTCCTGCCTCAGCCTCTCAAAGTGCTGGGATTATAGGTGTGAGTTACTATGCCCAGCTGAAATGGAAACATCTCAACAGCAAAAAAACTCCAAACAATCTGATTTTTAAAATTAGCAAACCGGGCATGGTGGCTCACTCCTGTAATCCCAGCACTTTGGGAGGCTAAAGTGGGTGGATTGCCTGAGCTCAGGAGTTTGAGACCAGCCTGGGCAACACAGTCAAACCTTGTCTTTACTAAACCCCCCCAAAAATTAGCAAGGCGTGGTGGTATGTGCCGGTAGTCCCAGCTACTTGGGAGGCTGAGGAAGGAGAATTGCTTGAACCTGGGAGGCGGAGGTTGCAGTAAGATCACATCACTGCACTCCAGCCTGGTTTGACAGAGTGAGACTTTGTCTTAAAAAAAAAGAGCAAATGATCTGAACAAATATTTCACAAAAGAGGAAATGGCCAACATATACAAAAAAATGGTCAGCATCATTAATCATAAGGGAAATGCAAATCAAAACCACAACGAAATATCAACTCACCAGTTACAATGGCCGTCAAAGACAAAAAGTAACAAACACTGGTAAAAACGCAGAGAAAGGGGAACTTTTATATACACTGGGAATACAAACTAATACAACCACTATGGAGAACAGGATGGAAGTCCCTCAGAAAAACAAAAATAGAACTAACACATGATCTAGCAATCCCTCTACTGGGAATTTATCCAAAAGAAAGGAAGTAATTATAGCAAAGAGACATCTAGAACCCCGAGTTTATTGCAGCACTATTCACCACAGCCCAAATAGAGAATCAACCTTGGTGTCCAACAACAGATGATTGAATAAAGAAAGTATGGGGGCCGGGTGCTGTGGCTCAGGCCTGTCATCCCAGCACCTTGGGAGGCCAAGGCAGGTGAATCACAAGGTCAGGAGTTCGAGACCAACCTGACCAACATGGTGAAACCCCGTCTCTACTAAAAATACCAAAATTAGCCAGGTGTGCTGGCGCTACTAATCCCAGCTACTCGGGAGGTGGAGGCAGATGAATTGATTAAACCTGGGAGGCAGAGGTTGCAGTGAGCTAAGCATCTTGCCACTGCACTCCAGGCTGGGCAACAGAGCGAGACTTCGTCTCAAAAAAAAAAAAAAAAAAATGAGGCCAGGTGTGGTTCACCCCTGTAATCCCAGCACTTTGGGAGGCCAAGGTGGGTGAATCACCTAAGGTCAAGAGTTTGAGACCAGCCTGACAAACATGGAGAGAGAAACCCCATCTCTATTAAAAATACAAAATTAACCGGGTGTAGTGGCGGCTGCCTGTAATCCCAGCTACTCTGGAGGCTGAGGCAGGAGAATCACTTGAACCTGGGTGGCGGAGGTTGCAGTGAGCTGAAATCACACCATTGCACTCCAGCCTGGGCAACAAGAGTGAAACTCCATCTCAAAAAAGAAAAGAAAGAAGAAAAGAAAATATGGTACATATACACCACAGAATACTATTAAGCCATAAAAAAGAATGAAATCCTGTCATTCATAGCAGCATAGATAGAACTGAAAGACATTGGCTGGGCGTGGTGGCTCACTTCTATAATCCCAGCCTTTGGGAGGCCGAGGCAGGTGGATCACTAAGTCAGGAGTTCAAGACCAGCCTGGCCAACATAGTGAAACGCTGTTTCCACTAAAAATACAAAAAAATTAGCCAAGTGTGGTGGTGCATGCCTGTAATCCCAGCTACTTGGGAGGTGGAGGCAGGAGAATCGCTTGAACCTGGTAGGTGGACGTTGCAGTGAACCGAGACTGCGCCATTGCACTGCCTGAGTGACAGAGTGAGACTCTGTCTCAATAAAAAATAAATAAATAAAAATAACTGGAAAACATTATTTTAAGTGAAATAAGCCAGGAACAGAATGTTAAACAGTGCATGTTCTCACTCATATATGGAAGCTAAAAAAATCAATCTCAGAAGTAGGAAGTAAAACAGAGGCTACTGGAGACTAGGAAGGGTAGGAGGAAAGGAGGGAGAGATCTGTTAAAAGACACAAAATTATAGCTAGATAGGAGGAATACATTCGAGTGTTCTATAGCACTGTAGGATGACTACATCGTGTTGTTACAGTGGGTAGTCAGACATGAGCAGGGCAGGAAAGGGTGCCCCATCTCCATCAGGAATGTCAGGCAACCATCAGGTGATTGTCAGGCAGTTGTTAAACTTCTAATGATTGATTGCAGCCAGTGCCAGGGAAAGGCAGCAGTCTCCCAATAGATAGAAACACCTGAAACTGGTCATCAGTAGCTTCGTAATAAGATCTCAGGAGTTGGACAAGTAGGCGCAAGCATTCGCACTAAGAGGCAAAATGGAACTGTTTAACTGGTATATGACCTTCTTCTAGGAACACTTGACTGGTAAGGCAAAATGCCTCAAGGAAGCCTGAGCACAATTCACACTGTGCATGTGGCTCCTCCCAAATGCTGGCAGGTGAGGGATCTGTGGGGATCGCTCCCGTGTGAGGCCCCTAGGAAATGGGCCTCGCCATATGGTGAGCTTGAGCCCAGACACAGATCCCCGGTTGGGGGAGTTGAGCTGAGGGAAAGCAAGAACCGAGAGAGGGACTATGCTATTCAAAATAATTAACAGACATTACTTTATGGATATGAGGACTTGGGAGGCATTGTGTCCACTTTCGGCTCCTTATGGTTTATTGCTTGATTGTGTTCATTTTGGACCTGTTACCTTCATTGTAAAATATTAACTTAAGTATTTACACTTGGTAACTTACTTACATAACTTACTGGGCGTAACTGTAACTTGCTTACAATTGTTAAGTACTTACTGGGCGTAACTTACTTACCGTAACTTACTGGGAGTAACTGACTTATTGGGCGTAACTTAGTGGGCGTAATTTGCTTACTGTAACTTAAGTATGTTGATCTGGCGTAAACAACATTAACTTCAGAAAAGTATATAATGGAACATATTGCAAAAATAAAATTGCTGCTTGGACATAGCCTAAGCCAGCCGTCCAGACTCCACTTTTCTTTTTTCTTTCACTTCTGTGCACTCTCTCCCTCAGGTTGAACGAGACATCTACATTGGCGGTCTTGAGGACTCCCGCAGGTCGGTAGCCCCCCGGCAGACGTGCCGGACCCCAACAGGCAGGCTACTGTACACGTGGACTGCTCACCCCAAGAGAAGAATGAGGAGAAAGGATGCAATCCCCCAGAGTATGTCTATGTAAAAAACCCTTAGTTAAAGGTCAAACCATTCACTTGAATCTTCAAATGGCCTGCTTGGTCTCCTTTCAAGTGTACTTTAGTTCCTTTTGTTCCTACTCTAAAACCTTTAAATAAGCTGAAACTTGCCTCACAAAAATAAAAAATTTAAAAAAATAATAAAAAGAAGGAAGAGTCAGGCATGGTAGCTCACAATTCTAATCCAGCACTTTGGGAGGCTGAGGTGGGTGGATCACTTGAGATCAGGAGTTTGAACCAGCCTGGCCAACATGGTGAAACCCCGTCTCTACTAAAAAGACAAAAAATAGCCAGGCATGGTGGTGGGTGTCTGTAATCCCAGCTACTCGGGAGGCTGAGGCATGAGAATCACTTGAACCCAGGAGGTGGAGGCTACAGTGAGCCAAGATCACACCACTGCACTCCAGACTAAGCAACAGAGTGAGACTGTCTCAAAAAATAAAATGAAATAAAAATAAAATAAAATAAAATTTGTCTCAGACTCTTACTCTGCCTTATGCCCCTGAATTGATTTCTTTGTTCTGAGAAGGCAAGAACTGAGGTTGCTGCAAACCCTTATGGATTCTCCACTGCTAGCAGTATTAGATAGCTAGGAGGAGGATATTAAATGTTCTCAACACAAAAAGAGGATAAATGTTTGAGATAATGGATATGCTAATTACTGTGATCTCATCTCCATCCAGTGTATGTATTAAAACATCACTATGTAATCCATTTATATGTACAATTATTATTTGTCACTTTAAAAATACAATAAAACAAACAGGCCAGGTGTGTTGGCTCATGCCTGTAATCTCAACACTTTTGGAAATCAAGGTGAGAGGATCATTTGAGCTCCGGACTTTGAGACCAGCCTAGGCAACATGGCAAAACCTTGTCTCTACTAAAAATATGAAAATTAGCCGTGTGTGGTGGCGTGCACCTGTAGTCCCAGCTACCAAAAAGGCTGAGATGGGAGGATTGCTTCAGCCCAGGAGGCGGAGGTTCAGTGAGCCAAGATTGTGCCACCCTACTCCAGCCCGGGTGACAGAGAGAGACCCTGTCTCAAAAATAAATAAAGAATACAATAAAACAAAACAAAAAATTTTAAGGTTGGGATGTCACCTCTCCTCACCCCAGTGTAAAAAGGTGTCCTCATGATTGTTCTACCTTCCCTAATATGGCATCTTTCCAGACCCACCTTTATTAATGAAAATGATAAAAGCAAATTTGGATTGAATATTTATATATGCCACATAAGCACTGTGAGAGACACTTTGTGTATAGGGACAAAAAAAAAAGTGCTTCCCTGTATCCTCTTAGATTCAGATTCTTTGGCTGGTCTACAAATTAAATTGACATAAGGCAGATTAACAGAAAGAAAACCATTTTACTATTTATTTATTTATTGAGACGGAGTTTCACTCTTGTCACCCAGGCTGGAGTGCAATGGCGCAATCTGGGCTCACTGCATCCTCCACTTCCCAGGTTCAAGAGATTCTCCTGCCTCAGCCTTCTGAGTAACTGGGAGTACATGCATCCAACACCACAGTCAGCTAATTTTTGTATTTTTAGTAGAGACGGGGCTTCACTATATTGACCAGGCTGGTCTTGAACTCCTGACCTCAGGTGATCTGCTCACCTCGATCTCCCAAAGTGCTGGGAGTACAGGCGTGAGCCACCGCGCCTGGACAGTGGCCATTTTAATGACACACCTGCACACAGGAGTCCCACAGAAATGAGACTTAAAGAAGTGGCCAGATGATTGAGGCTTAATTCTAATGCTGAGCTACAGAAAGGGTTTGGGATTTCTGGGGGGTGGTGGGGAGAGTGGAGACAAATTATGGGAGGGTGAGAGGAGGAAACGTGTTAAAAGTCTCTCACGTGATAAAAGTTGTTTGATGAGTAACTCTCTTCCTAGTACAGATGCCTTTATAAATAAAAATTTACTTTATAAATGTATTTCCTTTACCAAATGGTAACATTTCAGAGCTTCTGTATCTGTAGTTCTCCAAAATAATCAATATGCTAAAAACCAAAGCAAGAAAAAAAACACAGTCTCTTTTAGGGTGGCATATTCTGGCCTCCTACAGTCATATTTCAGAGTGGCAGGTCCTGAACCCTATCAGTTGAATTATTTTATCTTTATCTTATTTATTTATTTTGAGATGGAGTCTCGCCCTGTCACCCAGGCTGGAGTGCAGTGGTGTGATCTCTGCTCACTGCAACCTCTACCTCTCCCTCCTGGGTTCAAGCAATTTTCTTGCCTCAACCTCCCGAGTAGGTGGGACTACAGGGTACACTACCACACTCAGCTAAGTTTTTGTAGTTTTGGTAGAGACAGGGTTTCTCCATGTTGCCCAGGCTGGTCTTGAACTTCCTGAGCTCAAGTAATACACCCACCTAGGCCTCCAGAGTGCTGGGATTACAGGCCTGAGCCACCATTCCAGACGATTATATATATATTTTGGGATGGAATCTGGCTCTGTCACCCAGGCTGTAGTGCAGTGGCATGATCGCGGCTCACTGAAACCTCCATCTCCCAGGTTCAAGCGATTCTCCTGCCTCAGCCTCCCAAGTAGCTGGGAATAGGCAGCTGCCACCACACCCAGCTAATTTTTGTATTTTTAGGAGAGATGGGGTTTCACTATGTTGACCAGGCTGGTCTTGAACTACTGACCTCATGATCCACCTGCCTTGGCCTCCCAAAGTGCTGAGATTACAAGCGTGAGCCACTGCACCCAGCCTATTTTAAGTTTAAAACAGGACTATGAGGTACATAAAATGATTTTCTTTTTACAAATAAGCAGACAGGCTTAGAGAGGGAAATAATTTGCCAAAGTCACCCAGTTTATGAATAGAAAACTTCAAATTCTACCTTGGGAGTTCTGTTTTTTTTTGTTTTTGTTTTTGTTTTTTTTAATGTTGCTTTTTGTTTGTAATGATGTCAACACAAAGGAACTTCCTTGGGAATTCTAACTCTAGAACTCTAAAAATTGAATTCTCCATGGCCAGGTGAGGTGGCTCACGCCTATAATCCCAGCACTTTGGGAGGCCGAGGAGGGTGGATCACGAGGTCAAGAGATCGAGACCATCCTGGTCAACATGGTGAAACCCCGTCTCTACTATAAATACAAAAATTAGCTGGGCATAGTGGTGCACGCCTGTAATCCCAGCTACTTGGGAGGCTGAGGCAGGAGAATTGCTTGAACCCAGAAGGCTGAGGTTGCGGTGAGCCGAGATCCTGCCATTGCACTCCAGTCTGGGTAACAAGAGCAAAACTCCGTCTCAAAAAAAAAAAAAAAAAAAATTGAATTCTCCAACCAGTACACATACTATCTTCCAGAACCCTTCCTTTTAATGACCCATATCAAAGGATTTTTTAAAAAAAGTACTGATCAATTTTATTCATTTTCAACTATGAAACTTACATTTCAGGTAAGGTGGGTTTTACATTTTACCAAGAATATCTATGCCCCCAAATATATCAAAGTGGTGAATTTTCAGTTCAACAAAATTTTAAAAAATGTGACAATTTTGTCCAACGAGCCTGTATTGCATGCCAGACACCAGAGAAACAGAGATGAATAAGATATAGTCCCTGCCCTCACATTGCTTATGCTCAGGAAGACAGATCTAAGAAAGGATTTAACAGAATATGGAAAAAGTTACTTACTAAGCTACGATGGAAGCAAATGGTAGGAGCATTAGACCCCACTTGGGAGCTAAGGACATCTGCCTGGAAGAGCCGACATCTGAGCAGAGGTGCAAGGGGTAGAGGAAAGGAATTGAGAGAGGAAGTATAAGTAGGTGATTGGTGTTTACAAGGGATGACGAACAGATTGATGTTGCCTAACAGAAATTGTAAAGACAGGGTGAAGATGAGACCAAAGAGGCAAGGAAGGCCACGTCAGGCACAAGAAGAGAAAATCAAACACCGTATGTTCTCACTCACAGGTGGGTGTTGAATGACGAGAACACATAGACATAGGGAGGGAAGCATCACACACTGGGGTCTGTTGGGGCGGGTAGGGAAGGGACAGTGGGGGGTGGGTAGGTTGGGGAGGGACAACATGGGGAGAAATGACAGATATAGGTGACGAGGGGGGATGGAGGCAGCAAACCACATTGCCATGTATGTACCTACGCAACCATCCTGCATAATCTGCACATGAACCCCAGAACCTAAAATACAATTTTAAAAAAAGACCACATCATAGAAGGATTTATTTATTTATTTAGTGCATGACTTGATCTTAGAGACCATTTGATACATTTGAGGTATTTCCAAATGGAAAGTGGTAAACCAGGCTGGGTGCAATGTCTGATGCCTGTAATCCCAGCACTTTGGGAGGCCGAGGTGAGTGGATCACCTGAGGTCAGAAGTTTGAGACCAGCCTGGCAAACATGGTGAAACCCCGTCTCTACTAAAAATTCAAAAATTAGCTGGGCGTGGTGATACGTGCCTGTAATCCCAGGTACTCGGCAGGCTGAGGCAGGAGAATCTCTTGAACATAGGAGGCAGAGGTTGCAGTGAGCCAAGATTGTGCCACTGCACTCCAGCCTGGGCATCAGAGAGGAGACTCCATCTCAACAAACAAACAACAACAAAAATGGTAAACCAGAATTGTGTTATAGAAGGATTGTTCTCGTGGCTGAACAGATTTGATCAGGTAAAGTCAGAAAAGAAAAATCAAGAAAGGAAGCTATTGCCAGGGAGTGAGAAAGTGAGGATGGACTAGGATATGTGTAGAAGGGAAGGGAAGGGCTCTAGTGATGGGAAGGAG